CCCCAAAACCCCAAAACCCCATACATGTATAATAATAGAAACAATATTTAACTCATAAAAAATTTATTACTATAAATCAATGTTTAATTCATCAAATTTTGCGTTAAAAGAAGACCTTATTCAGCAGAATCAGATAGGCAGCCCTTTAAAATTAGACTTCAGCTTGTTTTTCATATCTACTTCATTACTATTTTTCATCTTGTTAAACATTGATGCTCCACCACCCATTCCAATACCAACGCCCATTTGTCTCATAGGTGCTGGTTATTACACTACAGTACCTTGTGACGAGCTTTCCCCTTTTGATTCTATTTCCATTTCTTATTTTTCCTCTAATAGCATTTTCTCTCTGAAATTTTTTACTGACACCGGTGCAAAATCTTATTTCCTTTCTTCTTAAATACCTGAAGCTATTCCCTTTCGTTCCATTGCCATGTTTTGCAAGAAATTTCTTTGCTTGAGTTGATTTTAGTCCATGACTAAATTTCTATTTTTAGTTACAAGTCTGGGAGTACCCCAGTCCATATTTCTCAAGAATTTATTTTCTTCAGGTCCATTATCTTAAAGCTTTTAAATTCCGACTGCGGCAGTTCCTCCTATTGGCTTGCCTGGCATGGGCTGCATCAAGCTGTTTTTTAATCTCTCAATCTCCCTTTATCTTGCAGTCATAGTTGCTGGTACCTATCTAGTCTCAGTCTAATCAGCTGCTTGGTCGTTTATCCCGATTAATTCTTTTTCTCTTGGATTATTTTTAACGTATGCCACCTCTTTAATCATTTCTCTTGTGGGCTTCAATTTGGCATGCTCAGACTCGTTTCGATACTCTAAGTTAGCAATCTGCTCGATTCTCATCTGCTTTATCAGTTCCAACTTAGATTTGAGCCAGTTTTACTTAAGAATAATAGAAGCTCTAAGTCTCTCAACAGGTTCACCTTGAAGGCCCCCAAAATATTGAGCGAAGTTCGATCTTAAGATTTTATAAACCTCAGCCTTCTTTGTGAAGACTTCGATAGTATAGGGATTGGGGTAATCATTTAGTGCACTGTGCTCTCCGAAGCACTCACCTCTGTTCACATAGCCGATAACCACATTTTTTCTATTTTTATCTTACTGAATTTATTCTGGGAACACAGGCTCATTATGTAATTAAGTGGCGGTAGACAAAAGCACGCGACATTTTCCTCGGAAAACAAAGTACAGATAATCATCCTAGTCGTCTTACTTCTGGAACACATAGCCCTAAGTAGCCACTTCTTTGATGAACAAAATCTCCATCTCCTCAATCAGCTTCCTGGCGACTGACCTAAACTTTGGAATGTACCTGACTAAAAAATCAATTTTTTGCTCACTGGCAGACAATTACGTCCTTTTAACTATCTACTCGTAGAGATCCTTGTCAATGATAAGCACTTCTGCTTTTTCACTAGCTACACGTGCGTAATCATGTCTTAAATCAGTCACTGATGTCCTCAGTCCAAAGAACTCACTCTCGTCGCCATTCTTTGAAAACTTGAACTAGTCCTGGTCTCCTCCCTCTTGCATGTGAGTATTATCTACCAAAATTTCAAGTCTACCTCTGAGCACAAAATAAAAGAACTGAGATGTATCCCCCTTTGTGTAAAGCAGCTCCCCCTTCTCAAGTTACTTGAATTTCATAGCGTATTGCAACTATTTAAACGTTTACATGATATTCCAATTGCGTAGTATTTATTACCTTTCCAAGCATGCTTTCATTGTATTGACAAAAGAGTAGTTAATACTGTTTGTTATTAACGAGATCAAAATATTTGCTGATGAATTTCCCATTATCAAGCTACTCCCTGCTCGGATTCATCTCGAATATGTTACCGATCACCTAGTTATTCACATCATTTTCAGCCTTTTAAACGATTTCCCTCACTCTGATTTTCCTCATTTCTGAGACAGACATTGAGCCCTGAAAAATTTAGTTAAATGTCCAAAAAGTAATGGATGCGAGGTGAAATACTTACTACTAATCCAAAATCCATTTTATTTTAGTGAAATATGATTAATTATAAATTGGAATAGGGCAAAATCGATTTATATATAATCTTATAGTATTTTTTATGAAGATTAAATACTAGCATTGTGGGGTTTTGGGGTTTTGGGGTTTTGGGG